ACATACACAGAACCAAAAGACCGGCTGGAACCTGTCACTAACGAGATACATATTTATCAAGGCCCAAACGCCCGCCTACATACTTTACATACTCCTCTACTATTAATTATTCTCGCAATGATTTAACTTTACCTCTTGGATCGGGGGATCGAACCCAGCGAAAAACAAAAACCATGGGGTGCACGCACCGGCAGGATGAATGGGTTGGTGGCAAGACGAAGGACCCGGATTTGGTGGGGGGGGTAGGTGTATGGCGCACGAGTATAAAAAGACCTTGCCTTCCTTCCTTTTTTTTTTTATGATGCCTTCATTCATTCTTGTTTATTATTATTTTTCTTTTATTTTCTTTTAATACTGTTTTTCCCCTTCTCTTTTTCACTCCGTACTCTTAATACACACACACTTATACCTTCCCTCCGTTTGCCAGTTGGATCATCTTTGTCATCTTATTATTAGGTACAGTATATACTCATTCTTCTCCCACTGGACTGACTGGATATATTTTATCTTATCTTAATGGATATCTACTTTCCGCGCGAGGAGTAGTGGGGACATTCTTGTTTCGTTTTGGTGTATATAGAAAGATGGTTGGTGGTGTTTTTTTCTATTCTTTCTCTTGTTCAGAAAATTACCCCCTTTTGTCACATATTTTTTTCTGTTTTATATAACTACGAGTTGAGAAGGACTGCGGAAAGGAGCGGAGATAGAGGTAATTGATTAAATGTTTTTACGGTGTGTGGAACTTATTCGTTTGGTTCTATTCAATAGCCGTCGGTTTAATCGTTGGAGAGGTAAGGGATATTAGGAGTAAATAAATATATGTGGATCATATCGTAATACCACAGTCGTGGGAGGGAGCTGGAGGAAAAGAGGAAATTGATATGATATACTAATTGGAAAGATTTCTAGGGAATAGAAAAAAGCTAATATGATCATCCATGTATAAAAACTCCAAAAACACCTATCCCTTACCCCTATCATAAAAACATAACATCATCCCCCCCACCCATCGACTAATCCATAAAAATCCATAGGGAATAAATCATACATCCCCCTCATAAACCCTAACCACAACCCCAGGCCTACTCCCAACCTCGCACGCCTCAACAATCGTCTCCAACCCACCCGCCAACTCCTTCTCCCCCCTCGCCGCCAACCCGCCCCCATCCCTCGCAAACGCCTGCTCGAAATTCTCCACCACCTCCTCGCCCCACGGCAACGCATCAACATCCACCTCCATGCCCAGTAAACACTTCAACACCACGCCCGCACCAGCCTTGCTCATGACTACGTTCATCTCCTTACACCGCTCATCACACACGCACTCGATACAGCCCTGCGGCGTGATGCATGGGCATGCTTCTACGCGCGCCTGTGCGCGGAGGAGAAGGCTGTCGATGAATTCGAAGGCCTTGGCCGCGATGCCGGAGCCGGCGGAGCCGCCTGTGGCGTCGTAGAAGGTTAAGCGGGCGGGACGCTGGCGGGCGGGTGGGGGAGGTGGGGGGATGGCGCGGGTCGATGAAGCCTGTGCGGCCTGTCTATGTTTGGGGCCTATTTCTTTCAGTCCAACTTTGCATTCGGTGCGGACGTCGCCGGGCGAGGAGATGATGAAGGTTGGCATGAGGGAGAGGATGGCGTGTTCGGCAGCGTGGATGGCGGCAGCTGCGTTGAGGTTTCGAGATTTGAGGATATCGAGAGCCTGTTTGGGCACGTCGAGCCATAGGCCTTTGCTGTGGATGTCGATGGGTGGGTTGTCGAGGGCGACGGCGTCGAGGATTCGGCCGCGTTTGTCTAGTTTGAAGTAGCCGTAGACGAGGGCGCGTATCCTGATCGCGCCAAAGAAGGCGCGAGTGTTGCATTTGCGGCTAATACGGCGTATAGCTTCGGTTTCGATGGGGTCGATGTCGGTTATGTCGCGTTGTTGGGTGGTCCAGTCCACATGGACGCGGACGACACGGGCGAAACGTCGATCTGTGTTGAGCTCCTTGACCATGTATGGGTTCCCTTGGTGCAGGAATATGCCTCCTTCGTATATGCTGAAGAATACTCTAGTATCTTCGATCTCCTCAATTACAACGTTTCGATTATTGGTCGTGTCGATGATGGCGTAGTGGTCATTCTCGGTGTCGCGTATAGCTACACATTTCGAAGGGTTTGGGCGGAATCGCTCGTGGCAATGATAATAACCCATGATGTCCTTCGTCAATCGCGTAGACGCAAGCTCAGGGAGTTGAGGTCCAAAGTATTTGACGTCTTCATCCGGCCGAATTGGCATCTCAAACGCAGCGCACTGAACATGGCCTTCAAGGATGAGTTCATTTGTTAAATCAACCTGCAGCTCACAATTCGGCTTTGTAAAGAGTTCATCTGGGTTCTGCATGTAATGCTGATCCGTTGCATAAGAATCGCCAACAAGAATAGAAACCGAGTCTTTATTCCTACGACCAGCACGTCCACTTTGCTGCCGCAAATTCGATATCGAATAGGGAAAGCCATGCGTTATCACCGCATCAAGCGAGCCGATATCTACTCCGAGCTCAAGAGCGTTCGTCGCCACGATCCCAAGCAGCTTTCCTTCAAACATTTCACGCTCGATTTTTCGCCTGTCCTGTGGGCTATAACCGCCGCGATATCCCATCACGAACTTGGCGACATTTGACCTGTCTAGGTTTCTGAATTCGTCTCTGACAGCACTAAGCAGAAGCTCGCATTGCTTCCGAATCCGGCAAAAAGCGATGACCCTTACGCCTCTGAGAACCAATTGGCAGAACAATCTCGCGCTCTCTTGAATGCTGCTACCACGGCCGGAGGATGGATCACCAGGATCCCGAAAGGGCGTATTCCAGCATATAAATTCCTTCCTCCCGGATGGGGACCCGTCCATGTCCGTCAACTTCACATCATCCACTCCAAATATAGTTTTCATATGGGCCTCGGGGTTCGCAACGGTGGCAGAACAGGATATAAACTTGACATGATGGTTTCCCACTGCAGCACATATCCTGCGCAGTCGCCTCATAACGAAAGCAACATGGGAGCCAAAAAGACCATTGTAAACGTGTAGTTCGTCGACAACCACGAATTTCAGGTTCTTCAAAAACGTCCGCCACGAAGATTCATGCGGTAGGATAGTGATATGTAGCATATCCGGGTTAGTAAAGATAATCCTTGCTTCGTCCCGAATCGCATTTCTATCAGCCATTGGGGTGTCGCCGTCAAAGGTTTCCACAAGCACATGTTCCAACCCCTCGATATATCCAAGCAAGTCCTTCATGCTCCGCCGCTGGTCCTGCGCAAGCGCTTTGGTTGGAAATATGTACATACCCCGGCTATGTGGATCCTTCTCCAACTCATGAAGCATGGGGACCTGATAAATTAGCGACTTTCCTGAACTTGTCGAAGTAGACACGATGACATTGTGGCCATCATGCAAATTGTTTATAGCATCTGCCTGGTGAGAGTAAAACTGCGTGATGCCCCGGGTGTTGTACAAAGCGTTAACTAGGCTCTGTGAGAGCGCAAATTTTAGATCGCCGTAAACAGCCTGTTGGGCGTCAAAAACGCGGTGGCCATCCGGCACTATCTGGCCGGTATACCATTCCATCTCCCGGATACTGGCAATTATTTCAGAAATCGATTCTCGCTCCTTTGGGATCTGTGCGGGTAGCCTGGCTGCAGCAGGGGTATTATGGCCGCTGCGAGATGATGCTGGGAGATATATATCCTTCGCAGCCTCCAACTTCTCGACAGGATCCACGTCCTCCTCTTGACATTTCACAAGAAACGCATCAACAGCATCTGCGAACTTCTTATTTCGTTTCTCGATCAGGGCCAGCATCTGTTTATGGCTATAGGTTGGCGGTCTAAGATCCGCTTCTTTCGATTTCCTCCGAGAGGCAGTCTGCGTGCTTTCCTTCTTTAACTCGCCGTCAACGAATTCGAATAAGAGCACTTCATTTTCCGGGTCGTTCGCATCGTTATCGCCAGGGACGGAATCGCCCTGACCCATCCCCTCAGCTTCCCAGTCATCCCACATTTTCCCACCCCCACTACCCGCCTCCCTCACGCCCATAATATCGACAACCCCTTTATCAACAATCTCCAACCTCACCGCTCCAGGAATCAACGCTTTCACCCTTGCCACATCTTCAACGCTCAGTTGCCGCCCGCCAGTCTGCGCTTCAACAGCTGCTTTGATATTATCAAACGTGGTCGCGAAGTGTTTTCGCGCAGAGCAAAAGGTATAGACGAGGCTGAGGGCGCGGTGAGTCTTTGCCAGGAGCTTGAAGGGTTCCGGCCATGGGATCGTCGGAGTTGGCGTGGTGGGTCGGGACTTTTTGCCTCGAGCGCTGGGAGTGGTGCTCGGAGACCGAGAAGACGGGGTTGTAGAACGTTGTCTTTTGCCAGTCTTGGACTGCGAAGTGCCTGCACTTGGGCCATCGTGGGCTTTGGTTGGAAGGGTGGTTGTCGCGGTTGTTTCTAACGTGGTAATAGATAAAGGACTGGCGTCTGTATTCCCTTCTCCCGTGCGCTTTTCATTTTGCTTAATCTGTTTATGGCCCACAGACCTGCTTCGGACGGTATGCTCTCCTCTGTCGGGGATATTGTCGTCTAAGGCGGTTGCCTTTCTCTTCCGTCCATGATTCATGGGTGCGGAGTGCAAGTACGCGACGCGAGGATTGTTAATGGAGCATCACGGCATCATATCAGGCGATGTCCTTGTAAAATGTAGGCTGACTGAATTGCATTGCAGCCAGAGGCGACGAGAGATTTTGCATGGAAGAACAGTCGGCGTCAAATCGCGAGATCTCAAAAACGCGTGGTCACGTGATATCGTTTCTGGACAGGTCCAATTAAGGTTGGCTCCCATAGACAACTGCAAACTCCTTCCCAAGGGTCAAAATGCAACAAAAAAAATAGCCGCATCAATTTCAGCCGAAATATCAGAGGGCCATCCAACACGCATATCCCGAAAAGAAAACCGAAAAAAAAAAAAATCATGGACAATGGGATAATCGAAATCCCGACCTTTCGCAGGCTTTGGAGGTGCAAAGCGAACGCTCTACCAACTGAGCTAATTGCCCGGCGATCAGTGGTTAGCCCAGCCGCTTAACGTCCCTTAATCCACGTCGTTACGCGTAGCCCGATTTTGGTTCTCAGGACGATGGGGGTCGAAGTGTTGTTCTTCTTTGGCACTTCTATATAGCTATCCCATCAGGGGATAAAAACATTCCTCAATACATTGAGTGCCTCTCTACCTTTACATACATCTATCTGGATCTGACATCCCACATACATACCTCAATATTAACTCTGCTTCGACTCTGCGCCTACAACTAAAGGAGATTTAAGCTCTATATAGTAAAGCAAGAAGGAAATAAATACCGAATCAAATCAAATAGAATCAAACCAGAACCGAAGAAGAAAAGAATTTGAAAGAAGAAAAGATTATATTATTAACTCTTTACCCTTTTTATTTCCCTAGCCTCCTAAGTAAAGTAAGGAGGAAGTATGGACCGGGCCTATGCTGCTAAAATGAAACCAAACCAATATGAAATGAAATCAAACCCACCTGGGCATCCCCCCTCCCAAAAGGAAAAAAAAAAGGAAACGGTAGAAAAAGGAAAAGGACACACAAAATACCCAGCTAGCAGTAAAGTAAACAAAAAAAGCAGTAAATACCTCACACCAAAAGAAAAGAAAAGAAAACACCAAAAGAAAGAACATGGGTAGGTAGATAGCAAGCATCATAATTCTTATCTATAATCAATGTAAAGTAAAGGGAGGGAAAAAGAAGTATTTACCATTAAAATGGAAAAAGTAATAGAAGTAAGTAAAGAATAATTGTGAAAAAAAGAAAAAAAGATTGTTCTCTCTCACACAAACACACATATATTTTTTTAAAAAGGGCAATAATTTTGTTTTGTTTTTTCAGTTTTTCGAAAAAATAAAGTCTCAAAAAACGATGTACTGTATAACTCTCACTCATAGACTCGTCTGCAACTCGCGAATAGTGAAATGAAGTTCCTTCGCTGAGTCTTCGTTTGAAGTCTGTTACAGATCGTCAGTATGATGCGCACCCATCCAAGAAGAGAAGAGAAAAGAAAAGAAACGACATACTCTCAGCAAAAACGGCACACTCTTCCCCTCCTCAAATCCCGCAAAATGCACCTGCTTCCCCGACGGCGGCGCACCAGATGGATCACCCGCCTTCATACCTTTGAAAATCGGCGTGTTGAGGATGACCCGCAACACGCCGTCGGCGCGCATGATTAGGCGGGATGTTTTCTTTTGTGGTTGCTGTGACTTCTTCTCTTCGGTTGTTTGATCTTTATCCTTGCCCGTTGGCGCTGGGGTTGGCGCTGGCTCTTTGGCGTTTTCATCTGGCGATACGTCCTCATCATCCTCAGGCTCCTTGACGTTAACTTTGAACGTGCCGACGCCGCGCTCTTTCCACTCTTTGCCGTCGAAGTGGAAGAGTTTGCCACGGCAGGAGAAGACGGTTGTTTCGTCTTCTTCGCCGGTTTCAGCTGGGATACATTAGCACATGGCGTCGTATATAACACAGATAAAAGTCAAACATACTCTCCTGCTTATGGAATCTCTCGTCACCCTTCTCCTCCTCTGTTCCCAAGGCAGCATTCCCTTCCTCGGCCTCATCTTCCTCGTCATTAGATTGCCCAAAAACCTTGGGCTTAGAAGTACTTCCCAAAATCGCCGAACCGGTAGGTGCAGCAAAGCTAGTCAGCCCTCCACCAGGCTTAGGCGCCGCCGCGGCAAACGCACTTCCTGCAAACCCACCAGCAAACGAACCAAATGGCGAAGGAGTGGTAGCTGCAAATGGTGACGCCGCAAAGGCTGAGGAGGAGGGTGCAGATTCCTTGGCTTCTGTGGATTCAGGGGCAAGTGCAGATTTGAAAGGGGAGGCGGATGCGGAGGCGCCGAGGCTGCTGAAGGGGGAGTTTTCCGAGCCAGCGAACGCGGCCAGGCCTGATGAGGCGAAAGCCGATGCGGAGGTGATTCGGGGCTTCTTCTCTGATTCACTCTTGGATGTCTGGTCGGCGGGTTGGGGTGTGATCGCGGCGAAGGGGGATACGGTGGAGATATTCGAGAATGGATTTGGCGGTGAGATCTAGAAGACGTGTAAATAGAAGTACGGGGGGGGAAAAGGGGTAGAACATATCAAACCTTTTTCGAAGGTAAATCAGACCCCGACTCAGCATCTCTATCCTGGGAGTTATCGCGATGTCGTTTCTTCTCCGGCTCACCTTCTATCGTGCGGCTGCTCGTAGATGTGCCCTTGGATTTATCAAAGAGCTCTCCATTTTTAACTGTCGATTTTCCCTCATCAGCGTCTTCCCCAACATCATCAGACCTCAAATGGTCCTTGTCGAACTGGTCCCTGCTGCGCTTCTTCTTCGGGCTAAGGATCTTATTGCCAGCATCTTGGTCTGCGTTCTTGACTACTTCCGTCGGCGTACGTAGTCCGCCTTGATTGAGTACAGTCTCAGCTTCCGCGCCTGGAACATCAGGCTGATATCCCGTCATGGACTTACTTTTAGCCAGCTCACTATCATCCTCTGCCTTTGAATCCCTCGACCTCTTCCTTCGATGACCCATTTGTTCCGTATCTTGGTCGCCAGAACCATCCCCATCATCCGCATTCGCATCCTCCAACGACCTCTTCCTCCGCAACCTACCCCGGCCCTCGACACTGCTCGTCTCACTGCCATTATCCGCCCCGGTCACCGAAGCAGCCTGCGAGGCCATAATATGATCTTGTGGCGAGTGCGCGGAGTACGGGGAATTGGCGGCGGGGGATTTCCCACGAGCAGCACCGGCGATGGAGGTTTCCTTGAGTTTCTGGCGAACGGGACGCTCCCCGGCACCGTCTATTGGAGCACTGTCAGAGACTTGTGGTTTCCCTATCAGGTCCTGCTGGCTGGTTTGATTCGTACCTTCAGAGAGCTCAGCGCCGTCGTTGTCGGACGCAGTGTCGTTGTCGTGCGGGGTCAGGTGGGTGGAACCTTGAGCATCATGAGCGTCAGAGAATGTCTTTGAGAGGTGTTCACTGTCTGTGACGTCTTCTTCCGCCTTTTCTTGTTCCTGTGTAGCTTGCGGGGGAGGTATACTGTCTCGCGTACCTTCTAGAGGGGTAGGCCGTGGATGGGACGTCACGCCTGAAGTATCCGTCCGAGAGCCTTTTGGGTCGACATGGTCAGATAAGGGCTGCTGAACAGATTTCACCGGTGTTTCTTGGGTGGAAATAGGGCTTTCATGCTGCGTACCTGACAACGGCCCTCGAGCATCCTTCTCCGTAGGGTCTGCAGCATGGGAAGCGGGTGAGCGAGGTTCAGATAGCCGTTGGGCGGCAGTCTCACCATCCAGCACACCGTTCTGGTGGTGTGTCTCCGCCATGTAGACGTCTTCACCGTAGCGTGTTCGGGGGAGAGCGGATGTGTCTGTCAAGCAAGTCGGTGGCGGGCACACTGTCTATGGCAAACTGCTGTTGTCGGACCGGGACAGAGGAACGGGAGGTGGCACAGTTTTCGGTGTGTTTGTGTCTGGATGTGGGGGAGCGGGTATGGGATAGACGGCGTAGCAACGCAGGCCAGCCAGCCAGAGAGTGGGAGTCTTGAGATAGCCGCAGCGCCGTCTGTCTGCAGCAGCTCTGGGTTCAGCAGCGTGGAGAGTGTGAGGGTGCTGGCTGTTGAGAGGTTGAGGTTGAGATGTCGTCGTCGTCGGTGTCGGTGTTGTTGTTTTTTGGCAGACTGAGCCCGCCGACGCCAAGCCTGGCCGCGGATGGCCCAAAGTGGAGATGGCAGACAACAAAACTCACAACTCACAACTCACAACTCGCCAGACACAGACAACTCGTCGCAGCAGTCAACGGAGATGGTCTGTTCAAATGACACTCAGTCTGGCAGATCTCGCCTATGCCACTTCATCAGCCTCTCCACCTCAAAATCCCTGTGGCGTCTCCATTGATCCGCTCACAAGGGGCTCAGCCAAAGCCACAGGAATAGTTACATACCTGGAGCCAACTCGACCAGCGCTGGAGCTGGTTGGCTGTTGTGTTTCTCGTTATTTGGATTCTTCTCCTGAGCGTCCTCTTTTCCTCCTGTTTTTGTCCGGAGAGCTGACCACAGTCAGCAACCCCCTCCGCTTGATAGTCGATATACAGAGTACAAGAGCAGCACTCAGCCACCTGGTGAATCCAAGCTGCAGCGCCCAAGAGGCTAGGAGACGCCGTACGAAGTGAAGCGGGCTCAAAAGGAAGACAGGCAGTCCAGGTAAGCAGCGGAGTGAAAACAAGATGAATGCGATATTCTATATCTTTCAACCATTTTTTCGAGTCCCCTGCTGGCCCCTGGGAAACTAACCATGCAGGAACCATCTGAAAGAAAGAAGCCAGGATTGAAGTTGAGATTTTGTGAGTGAAATTCCTTTATTAATGTGCCACAGCTTTGGATGGATCTCTTTGCAAAGTAAAACATTTTACATTGTCAGAGGATAAATACTATGAAACCCCCATGAATGAAACTAACTCAAACCAAGGTGGAACTACATATATAGTTAGCTATCTCTTTTGTTTTGTTTTAGGTGTATCTCCCTTTCCTTCAATCAATCAATCAACTAGAACAATAACAAAGGCCCTTCCTTCATTGTCCTTTTACGCCTGAGAGAGAGAATGAAACAAGACAACAAAGATACCAAGTAAGGAGATGGCATTCTAAGAGTAATAAATCAGTTATATAAAACATCCCTCTGCGCTAATAATGTAGGAAATAATAACCGTATATGGTACATACAAGATAAGGTATGATGAGAGTTGAGCATTTCATCGGATAAACAATGCCCAATCGAAAAAAATGGGGGGAAGGGCTGAAACAAAAACATAATGAACCAGCATATATTAAAAAAAAAAAAAAAAAAAAAAAAACGATAAAACAAAAAAAAAAAAAAAAAACCAACAAAAAATAAAAAAAAAAAAAAAAAGATAAAAAAAATAACAACATAAATGCGAAACACCCCAGATGTCTTCAAAAAGACAAGATACACATACATCATCCCATTCCCATCC